TTCAGTTGAGACTGGCTTCTATTAGAAACCAGCACTCATTTAAAAACAGTCAAGACTATGAGGGGCAAGATGAAAAGACGCAAGGAACAATTAACCCCAGGTGAAAAATATGAAAAACCACTTGATAATAATATTTTATTTGAAATTGGAACAGGAATATTTTAAAAATTGGCGATGGGAAAACGCTTCTTTCTTAAGATCTCATTGCATTTCTGATTTTTATTTTATATAATGATGTTTAGGTTATATATAATTTTTTAGATCAAAAGGAATTCTCCAAATTTTTTTCAATTTCTTCATTCTTTGACCCACCTATTATTTCAAAATGGCTATCATTTGATTCAATTTTCCCAAATCTGGCTTTTATAGAGACATGCCTTTATAGTGCTGGAGACCAGGTATTTAGTAAAGAACAGGTAGTACTGTACTGATTTACCAGGATAACTTCTTTTTCAAACATGCAAGCATCCAATTTGTAAAGAGTAGAAACAAAATTGTCAGCTACTTTCCTAAGAATCTCAACTTATTCTTATCAACTTGAAAGATTTGAAGAAGCTAAATCTTCAAGCAATAAATCACTCATACAGTTGACCCCTGCACAATGGACCTCCTCCACACAAGAATGGCTTTTTGCACAACAGGCTGCCTATAAAAGCGGTATTTCCTCCAGGTCAATGGACTAAATCTGTATAACAGCCATCAGTTGGTTTAGAATTAATGGTATAGAAAGTAAAAAATTTAATTGTTTTGACTTTGGATAACAGACTCTTCACACAGCAGACTATAGTCTGTTCCACAAATTAAGTCCATTGTGCAGGAGTTGACTGTAAGTTTGTTTCACCTGATTCTGGAAGACTTGATCCAACCATTTGGTCAAAGTAGAGCTTGAAGTTGTCATAGAAACCTTTGTGAGAGATTTCAAAATGACTGAACCCAGACTCTTTGTCCAAGTTGTCCCTGAGACACTCTGTCTGTTCATCACTCAACTGCTGTCCTGTTGTTCCAATTATCTCTTCAGCCCAGTACTTTACAAAAGGAAAAGGTAGAAAGCCTGCACCAGGCTTCACTACAATCAGCAAAAGTGTCATGAGACATCTGAACCAGTCCATGATGTGCCAAAAACTGTTCTTTCTTTTTTTCCTGCCACTCGGTTCACGACTCAACATTGAACTGAAGTGTTTGAAACCTTCTTTTCATGGAGTATTTTTTCCGCCTCATTCTGGGTTTTTTTGAACAGATAACGTGTGAAATCACTTTTCTGTTTGAACATGATGAAACCACTTTGTGGCCGTGGGCGGGCTTCTTTTGTGCTGGAAATCTAAAGAGAGTCTTCAAAAATGGTGTATGTAATCTTTTAATTTTTTGAACTTTGATTCAGGAAAAGAGATTATTTTTCATGCGAAATTTTATTATTTGTCAATTGAAATTCAAGTTGTAGGTGCATTTTTGGAAAGAAAAGGGGTATCTTCTCATGGCAAACAGTGAAGATGATTTATTTGGATGCCTATTTATTTTTGAGAACACCTTTTATACCTTGTTTAGTATTTGCAGCATTCCGTTTGTTTTATCTTCCTGATTTTCTCGTTCATCTGTTGCAAAGGCCGTTGTGTTATTTATTCGTAGGTGTGACTCAATAGCTTTCCATGAAAGCTTACTTTTCTGGTGATTGTTTACTCATTCAAGAGTTTTCTCTTTGAAGCACTGCCAGAGGGAACAAAAGAAATTAAACAGGATTTCAAAATAAGAAAAGCTCATTTCGTTTTTAATATCTTGGTTCCAGGGAGTTATTCATTTATTTTTGTACATGAGCAACGAATTTGTTGAGCATTTTGGTGGGAAAAAGCTATGAGACAGGTTCTTTGGCTTCTTGTTGCTGTTTTTCTTGTTGTTGTTGTGTTTCCTCTGTAGATTCTGGTTCTTGTTTTCCTAGGCTTTCAACAGCAGATGTTTCCCCAGCAGTTCCTCTTTTGAAGTAGTAATTGTGAGGTTCATCCAAGTACAGGTTCAAAATGGTGGATGGACGTTCGTAGTGATTTCTCTTGGGATAAATCGGCCGCCATTTGCTTTTACTGCTGCTGCTTTTGTAGGGTTTGTAGTGCTGGAACTGATGGCTGAGATGGACTTGGTTCAATAGCTGCATAAGTAATACACAGAAAACAGTACAAGATTTGAGTTTTATCTTGACAAAATTCCAGATTACCTTTGAGTTGAGCACAATTGGCTGGCCGACTTTGAATCGCTTGAAACCCAAGGCTGGAAACACTGGCACTTCAATTGTGGCATAGTGGTAAACATACTTGACGGATTCTTTTGAAGTTTTCTTTGGCTTTTTGGCAGTTGGCTGCAACACAGCAGGCTCATGATCATGAATGTTTGTGTCAGACTCATAAACATGTTGGGGTTCCTTTTCATCAGAGTGTTTGCTGTGGGTACTGAGAACCACCTCTGGTGCATCATGGTACTCATGACTATTGTCCTAGTTTTTTTTGGGGGGGGGGGGGGGNTAAAAACGAAATGAGCTTTTCTTATTTTGAAATCCTGTTTAATTTCTTTTGTTCCCTCTGGCAGTGCTTCAAAGAGAAAACTCTTGAATGAGTAAACAATCACCAGAAAAGTAAGCTTTCATGGAAAGCTATTGAGTCACACCTACGAATAAATAACACAACGGCCTTTGCAACAGATGAACGAGAAAATCAGGAAGATAAAACAAACGGAATGCTGCAAATACTAAACAAGGTATAAAAGGTGTTCTCAAAAATAAATAGGCATCCAAATAAATCATCTTCACTGTTTGCCATGAGAAGATACCCCTTTTCTTTCCAAAAATGCACCTACAACTTGAATTTCAATTGACAAAAAATAAAAGAAAAAACAATACAACATGAAATACAACTGGAAATCTGACATGTATGCATACACCCATTCATTCCCTGAAATTGGTAAAAAAAAATATATGTAAAATTAATTTAAAGCGCAAGGTCTTCAGCTTGTTTCTGTATGAGGTTTATTTGAATGAACAAAGTACAGATAATCTTTGATGATAAATCATATAAAGCCAACAACTTATCTTGATCCTTTAAGATTTCAGAGAGGGTCTCTTCATTGAAGAGACCTTTTGGTTGGGTGGGAAGGGGGGTTTGGTTGTGGAAATCTTGAGTGAACCTTGTGAATGCTGAAAAGCGGTAAATAAAGGGTTGTGTTCATTCATTCATTCATTCAGTGTAACAAACTTTTCCTGAAGTCCCCAAAAGTTTGTTGTAGGAATATTTTACTACACTGTAAAATGTTACATGCTTTTTTTTTAATGAGATGTGCTCTTGTTTTATATTTCTCCGACTCGCTCTGGGAAAAAAAGTCGGGAAATGTTGAGCTTACCTGGTGACATACTCGTGGGAGTGTGATTTCTGAGTGACACGGTAGGAATGGCCTCTGCTGGTCACGGATTCACTGTTGTCAATGAGCACTGCTGCACTCGGCTGATCAGACGAAGCCTTGACTTCGGCCTTCTGCTCGATGCTGTGCAAGTAGTGCCTAGGAAAGTAAATCGGCGGCACTGTCAAAGCTGAGCCTTGGTACTGTTTGCTGTTGGCACCGACTGCCCTGTTCCTGCTCGACTGTGGCACCACCGAGAACCTGAGCCTCGACACCTCCTGGCTGCCACTGATGGTGTCCTGCTGATGCCTGAAACTGCTGGTGCTTGGCAGTTGATAAGGGGACCTTTTCACGGGGTTTTCACCTCCGCCTTCTTCATCAGCACCATTTACAAGCGTCTTATTTGAGAAATATATGTACATGGATGGAAAAAGAAAGAGAGAGAAAGTAATTGTGTAGAAGCATTTTAAAATTTCAAGGCTGCAGTGAAGTATTTGATTGAATTAAAATAATTACAGAGATGTACCATTTCTGCAGCTGTAAATGCACATTTATTCAGGATAATGACCCAACTAAAAAATGAGCATTACATTTTTTTTATCTGGGTCCATATTATATGTCACATCATTCACTTTCTTTTATAACACATGTAGTACTTGTTGATTTTGGATTATTGAAGCAGGAAAAATACAATATAGAGAATAATTACAGTTTACTGGTACTGTACTATAGTCAGCCCCCCACCTATAACAGACCTCCTGCCTAAAGTATTCTTGCCTAACATACCACTTCTGGAAGCAGTTTTTCCTTCTGCCTAATGGACAAAATCCAACTAACATACTTCTGCTGGTTCAAAATTAATTATAAAAATTTAAGGTACAGCATTTTTTGTGATTGAATTTTTCTAAAGGACTTTTCACATAACAAACTAGTCTGTTGCTTGAATTAAGTCCATTGTGCGGGGGTCAACTGTCATTTTCTTGAAAATTTGAGCAATCTGCATAATGCTGTGCAAATATCTTTGATTTCTGTAAAAAAAAAAAAAAAAAGCCCAGACAGGAAATAATAATCTATAAAAGAGCAATTGTGTATGAATTAAAAAAAATAGAAATTCTCCATGTGTTTGGTCCAACATTTTCATTAAGAATATGCAAAACATGTTTATGAGGAACACATATTTTGGGCAGTAAAAGAGATCTGTAACAAGCAAGCATACTTTCCGAATGAACAATTTATGGATTCAATGTTTCCTATCTACTTGTTTTAGGTGTGAAAATTATCTCAATTTTATAAAACACTTCGGATGCGTATTATTTAAAATTAATTTCTGATGTGCGTGCTTTTTATAGCAGTGTTTTGCTTTGTTTGAAAAGCGAATAAATAACCATGTCAAACGCTTACCATCCACAAGCAATAACAGAACCCATTCAAAATCCATTGATTCCACATGGTTTTCGTTCCACGTCAATGTTTTTGTTTCTGCAAAAAAAAAAATCAGCATCTCCCACTTCAGACTAAGTCAAACATATTTCACTCCTCTCATCCGCACTCATTCACATAATCACAGCGTACTTTCCTTTACTTTTGAAATTTAAAAAAAATATACGGTATAAGACTTGATTGCAGTCGCGAATGCGGAGATAATGAGTCAGTGAAGCGTGGCAAGTGACGACACCGGAAGCGTCGTTTATTGCCGTCACTTCCTGGGAATGTGTCGTACTTGACGCAGGTTTTTTTTTTTTTTTGTTATCCTCACTGTCACTTTAATACTCACTCATCCGAGATTATAGGTCAAAGAACGCCGAAATTCGAACTACCTTTAGAAAAAAAATACAGTATTGCACTTCCTGATGGGGTTTGTTTGAAATAAAGAAAAGCTTGTCGGAAAACAAAAATTTTCTGCTAACCCCCATGTGGAAATGTATTGATTCAACATAACCTGCTGGTGTTTTTCTCTGTCAATATTATCTTTAGGCCAGCAGCAGAAGCCAAGAGTTTTAGAGTCTCGCTGCTGGTTGGAGGCAGCATTTGCTTTCTTATTCCCGAGCACAGGTGAACCAAAGGACTTCGCATGAGTAATACAGCATTTTATCACCTGATTTATTGAGAATTGGAGGTTATTTTTACCATGATGTGCTGGTTATTGTGGGGGTTTTTTCTGGTTTTGGGGAGTGTGAGATGTGAAAGGAAAAACTTGGTTGACACTTGCATGGCTTCAGACAATCACAAGCCTGCCCCTGCGCCAGAGCCTGAACTTCATGGACAAGTAAGTGGGAAATGTATAATTGAATTTATTGTATTCTGAAAACTTTTATGAAATCATGCAACAACCCTGTTTTCTCTTGTGGGGAAGAAAATAAAATAAAATTGAAAATCAGGCTTCATCAGCTTGTGGTAATTTTGACATAAGTGCATACATTCTTATGCTGCTTTTTTGACATCAATATGATGCAATCATCCTCAAAATTGTCCATTTTTTTAAGGAAACTTCATTTATGGTGTGCTCTCAATGTGATAGTGCTTTGTTTAAGGGGAAAACAAATCCGATTTATAAAGTAAAGTATTTCAAAAAAGTAATATGCATTTGATCTTAAGAAAAAATTGTTTTTTGGAATTATTTGGTGTGCTTCATACTTTTCCAAATTTTGAAAAACCTTAAAGTTGAGAAAAATAACTTTAGTTTTTACTTATTACAACAGACATAATTTGTAAAGAATATTTTTATAGGTCAATTTTTTTTATGCATATCGCAAATTCCTTTAGACTTTAACAACAAACTGTGATTATAAAAAACATGCTTTTATGGCAAATTTTGTTTGTTAGGTTGCTGAATTTCATTTAGAACATTTTTTCTACAGAATGTTTGTAGCATGGGGTGTTCTTACTGTACAGTGTATGATTTTACAGGAGAGGTGGTACCTTGCAATTTGATGTCCCTTAATTCTAACATTATGCAATTTGATGGTCAAATTTGCTGGGATATGAGGTTAACTCATAATTTGACCTCTGTCCTGCAATTCAACCTCCAGAGAGACACAATATGTAAAATTTGATGAAGAAGACATTGCATTTGATCTTGTCTTGCAATTGAACTGCTTCTGAATTAGACCCATGTCTGGCAATATGGATTAGAGTCCAATTGTGGAGTATCACCAGTACTGCATTTGATCAAGTACTATGCACACCTTTCCCCCTAGAAATCTGGACCACTAATTGCGTTGCATGTCCAATTTGTGTATGCATTTTTGGGTAGAAATTAGCAGGCATGTCATCCTTTGATTTCAACAGTCCTAATTCCCAGTATTTCAGTTTGTAAAATTTCAAATCCATGCCATTGTGAGGGATACAGATTTTGCATAATACAGCATTCAATTAAATGCAGTAAGTTTAAATGAATTGCTTCCTGTTTCTTATGATAATGCACCACATTCCTACTCCAATACAGTAAATTCACTCAAATATGCCTATATATACAGTAGTAGCAATAATATGACAGATACACATATTCAAAGCAGACAAATATGGATCAAATTCATGTAATTAATTATCATCCACATGAAAAAAGTCAGCTGAAATCATTCCTTTAACTTCAAGGAGTCACTGAGAATGAGAACAATAGTTTGAATATTTTACAAAGGGCATGGGGTTATATTAAAATTTGGAGTTAAAAACCAAGGTGAATCTTTACTGAATGTGGTACTGTGTATATACTTGAATTCATAATTAATATTTTAATTTTATTCATATTGTATTATTTTGAATGCGCAGTGCAAGCTTTGGTCAGAAAAGGCATGCTGCACAGAAGAAACCACAAGGCTGATACACAGTGACCCAGAGTTGATGGTGTATGGATTCAACTTCAGTCACTGCAAGCCTCTGTCCCCACAGTGTATCAGACACTTCAGACAAGAGTTCTGCTTCTTTGCCTGCTCTCCCAATGTTGGACCATGGATTGATTATGCAAGTGGCAGACATTTATAAAAATTGATTTATGAATCAACTATACTGACTCCTATCAGGCATCTTATCCACTTGGGAGACACAGGTTCCATGGAGTACCACTCTGTGCTGGTGACTGCAAGGCTTGGTTCCATGCATGTGGGGAAGACTTGACATGTGCCAAGGATTGGTTCAAAGACTTCGACTGGGACTCTGGAAAGAATGTTTGTCCAGCTAACTCGGATTGCATCACCTTCAAAGAGATGTTTGGCAATGCTAAAACATTTTGTGAATCTGTGAGTCGTCCTTCCAACAACAAATATCTACTCAATGATACTTAATTCTGAAATGGAATCCTACATCCATTTCATCTAATGCCTACTCAAGAGTTCTCAAACAAACTTCAAACACACAATGAGAGAAACAGTCTTGACATGCGCATTTTTAAAAAAATCCTTCAAGCATCAAAGCCTGTCTCAAAATTTCAAGCTGGCATTCACCACAAGGACTTGCCCTTTTTGCATAGTTTTTTTTCTGTAAACTCATGTTCCTCATTTAGCTCTGAAACTCCAAATATGATGAATATACAGTCAAACCATCTCTAAATCAAATTTCAAGGGACCACACAAAAATTTGACTTTGGGATGTTTAAAGTTGGGGAGGCTTGGAGTTACTGAGATTTTGAGTTAGGAAGCTCACATTTTTGTTGTGAGAGGAATTGCCAGAAATTGTAACTGGTAATACTTTGGGCCTTAAATTGCCATTATTGAAATCAGTTGACAGGATGCTGCGCTTGGATGAATCAAGGGTGCATTTGCCCAATTAATTGTTTACTTCCATTCAAAACACATCAAATCCCATTTTTATTGATTTTATTTTTATTGTGGCAAGAAAATCATAGCCAAAAAGCCTCAGAAAATTTGAGTCAGAGAGGTTTGATAAGAAAACACGTTGAGTTAGAGAGGTTTTTAATGCATTGTTTCTAAGGGAAATCAGATGGGGACTTTAAAAAATCTAACTTAGGGAAGTGTTTGACTATAAAAAAGGTTTGAATTATTTATAGGTTCAAGTGTAAAATACTAATCATGATAAGATCCTTCAACTATGTTCTTATAGGTTTCTTCAATTTTTCAGTTTCAACCCAAGAAACTTGTCATATGCCATGTAAGATCCCTGCTTGAAGCATGCCAAAACTATTTTCTTCAATCAATACATGTTTTCAATCTCTGGATATATGTTTGATTCTCAATTCCAAATTGATAATTACTGCAAAATACTTCAATGGCCCACCTTACCCCAGTCCAAACAAGCATAAAATTAAAATTCATAATAACATGAAGAATCATAATTGACATGAAGAACTGTTTGGGAAAAGTAAACATAAATTCAAGGTCAGGAAAGGTTTCAGTACTCTAATATTTAGCCACTGTTTCCCAGGTTTGGAGTGGTGAGTGGGTGTATGAAGAAGACTCTTCCAAATGTCTCAAACTCTGGTTTGATGCTGGAGACAACCCAAATGCCAAAGTGGCCAGTTATTTTGCACAAAAGGCGGCTGGAACCAAATCCGGTGATCAATCAACCCACCACACCCTGGACAATTCCTCCACCTTTTCTGCCCCACCTTCAAATTCCGCCAAGTTTATTCCCCTGTTACCGTATTGTGGTTGGACACTAGCAGGGATGTTTGTCCTTCACAGCATGCAACGCAATATCCCATTGTATTAAAAAAATGAATACACATCGCTCAGCAATATTTAATTAGAGCATTGTTCTGCCAGAAGACTGAAGCGAAACACGCGGTTTTGACCCGTTTCTCTAACCTTGAGCGAATCTGTGTCGAGTACAGTAGAGTACAGTAAAGTACAGTGGAGTACAATCCCCTGTGCGTTGGTGACGTGTGTGTCGAAATTCGGGGAGGTTGGGAAAGTCATCGTGACCCTGTTTCCGTCTGCCTACGCGAATGTCTTGTTTTCTCACGCTTATCACGTCGTCGAAAATTCGTCATTTGTGTCACGCGATGAGTCAATAAATACTCCGCGTTACCGTGAGGTCAGTCGGATGAGCATCTTTCGCTCACCCTTTCCGCTGGTCTTGGCGCGACATCTGTCCACTCTTTGAGCTTTGAAGCAGCGCTGCTCGAAACCTCAAATGTATAGGTGTCATCGCTGCTGCAACACAAACAAATCGCAACGGATTTTCATCGCGGTCTGTTAATCTCATCTCCAAGATAAACACCGGAAATCCGCGATAAAACCTGATGAAGTGAAGGGAAGACAGAAAAATCCACTTGGGATCATGGGCTCGATGCATGTGTTTGTTTGGTTGGACTGGGATTTGGATTCACCTGCTTCTTTATTTTATTTTCGTTGTCATCACTCATGCACCACTTACCAGCAGGTTGTTGTTTGCTCCGTCGCTTTCGTTCATTGTTCCTTCCCCGCGGGGTGTCGCAAGACCCGGTCGGTGGAAGCAAGAAAAATGACTCGACAGTCGTCACTGACACTCTTCATCCGTTTCTTTAAAGCACTTGTTTATGTTACAGGAGCGCGCCGCAAAGAAAAAAAAAATGCCAGCGTGGAGAATTTATTTTTGAAAATTAAACTTCTGAAAATCAGTTTGAAACACAGACATCAACCTAACATTAGGTATCATGGTGGGAAAAGTTGGTCGGAAAAATTAATTGTAGGGAAAAATAATGGGAATGATTAAAAAAAACATCACACGGTTTTGCTTCTTGTTGAGAGAAATTATTGAGAGCTTTTGAATCCTCTTTGGTGCACTTATTTTGGCTTAGAATGGTTTTTGCATTTATTTATAATGAGTTGAAGGGTCGCATATAGTCACATGAAATTGCAAAACATCCACGTTTAACCTATCATGAAGTTAAAATTTGTTTCCAACAAAAACGACATTACTGTAATTATTAAAAGTATTGGGTTCTATGCTCCTATTCCATCATCTTCAAAAGCAATTTTTTCATAAAGATGTATTTTTTCATCTGCAGAACAACAGAAGAACAAAACAAAAACTGCTGTAACTTGGATAGCATTCCTTAAATATTCAACAGTTACTGAAAAATGTAACTCTTGAACAGTGATGGTATACTGTTTTCCACCCAATATCAAGCATCAAAGAAGCATTTTGTTCTGACTAAAGGTTGCCAAAGAAATAAACAGCCTGAGTTAAGCATCCCAGGTCTAAGATTTTCCCCAAGAATTGCACTCTTAATGTTCTAAAAATTGTTAAATGTTGATTTAACTATAGGAAAGCAGAAATGAATGTCCTTCATTTGTGAAATTTCTTCAAACCAAATACAGTGTACTTATCCATGCGTATAAATATATATTTTTTTTTTTAGAGACAGGAATAAAAATGTTTAAAAAAATGTTTGCTGTTTTCTCTGACTGACTGATTAAATTGCACACTTATTTGAATGGATTATGAAATTTTCATCAAGTATGTCCAGATACAGTGATTCCATATTCTTCAGCCACTCCAATAAGGACTAGCTCATGCTGTAATCAATTACTGTTACCTCACACTTCAGAAAAAAAAAAAGTTTAGAGATGACTGGATCAAGGTCCAACAGTTATTATCTCGCATTTGTAAAACTGCCCTTGTGGTATATAAGATGGTGATTCTAAAGCCGGAACAAACAGTAGGGGACATGGAGTGGGGAGAGAAGAGAAGTGTACAGTATAGGAGAAGAAGGCCAAGACCTCTGGAGTCTTCCCTTATCCGTGATCCCAGACAAGACCGACTATGGGAAACTCCGCCGGTTCAAAACGAAGTGCTTGTAAATGAGAAGAAACGAGCCCAACTCAGTGCCCCTCACCCCTCCTCCATGCTTCGTTTCCCTTCGTAGGACAGGAAGCTAAAGTTGGGAGTTCCAGACACTATACAGTATACAGTTGAACCTGTAGACTATAACTGGAACCTTCAATGAGGCAGTGGAATACCTCTTGAGTTGATTCTTTTTTTCAAGACCCTGTCTGAATTACTTTAAAAAATATATTACAACTTAACAACTGAACTCTTTCTACAACCATGGTGCCAAAATAATTCCTCTGTACAACATGTGTTTGTTGTTCCCATATTGTTCCTTCCCCATGTTATAGGGGTTCTTTATAACAAAATTCTTGCTATAAGAAAATTTTCTCTGGTTGTAGAGAGAGTCCACCATGTTAACCTCTTTAGCTTGAAGGCTTTTCCTCTGCAACCTAGTCATACATAACTCACATTTTGGAGGATAAATATTTTCATGATAAAGTAGAGATAAAAAAAATAAATAAATAATGAGTTTTGAAAGGAAATAAAATACTAATTTGGCAAATGAACCCTTGCCAACAAGTTCTGCATCCTCTAAACTCATTCCAGAACCTACCAAAGGCCAAGAATATCGCCATTCACAATTTCCTGCAATTTTGTTATTGCTGAGCAATTTTGAGTCATGGAGGTTCACAGTCAAAGCATTTCAATTTAAGGAATTTTGAATTACATTCTTTTGAGGGCTTTTTGGGCAGGGACTTGAGCAAGATTAAGAGTTAGGAAGGTTTCGACTTGAAGTGGTTTTAACTTGAGAAAGTTCCAGGTGAAGAGATCTAACTTTTATTCTTTTCATCTTATTTATTGTCTCAAACATGTCTCAGTGATTTCATTCAAGAACAGTTCTAAATATTAATTTAATCTTCAATAGAATATACTGTAATTACAAGATGTTATTCAAAGGTAACATTTATTATATTGAGAAGATAAACTCAAGAAATTAATGGTTATGCATCAGTACTACAGGAACTGAATGTAGGTCAAACTTCAAATAGATTAAACCTCCAATTCCTAGAGAAATAATCAATATTGTGTCTCAACAAGGGTGCTATACAGTTGAACCTCTCTAAGTCAAATTACAAGGGAACTGAAAAAAATTTGACTTAGAGAGGATTCAACTCAAAGAGGTTTTGACTTTCATACATATTGGAAGAACAATAAAATGCCCCATTTTCTGGGAAACTTATAAGTGTCAAATCATTTTGATGGACTAGATTTTTTAAATACACCATATAATCAAGAACCATAATAGAATTATCCTTTATATCAAAGTTTTGGCAATAAGTTACACAGTGGCGAGGGTTCATAGGGATAGGGTTTGCCAAAAAATCACTTTCATCGCGATGATATAATTTTGCATATCACCATGAACTCGTGAAGTAATTGAACTATAAACAAGCCCCCGTACTTTTTCTCATTGCCATGCTGAATGAAGAGGGCCTTTGTATTAATTTCCCTAGACTTTTCCCAC